GGCAGCCAGCTAAGCAAATCCGGGCAGCTTCTAGATGAGCCTTACGGTTTTACACACGATTTTTCTATACACCATTATCACTTATAATTGATCTCAAGACTAACTTGAGGGTTGGAGGCTCTTCACCGAAAAATCCCTCCGATGTGAGAGTTTTGTGCAGGTTTTGGTGTTTTACCGGTGAGGATAACGAAGGCGTGGTGGTTCTCAGCCGGTCAGGGCATTACATTTGTATTATTGACGCCGTCTGTGGGACCATGTTCAAAAAGCTGTGTGCATGTTGTGTAGTCATGGCAGACGGAATTCCTCGTGCTAATTTACAGTCATTGTTCGATGAAGCATGGATGACGGCAAGACAGTTCGGAGCAGGCCCTCCTACAGGCTTCTCCAGACCTCTGCAGACGCAAATAACCCCAACACCTGTTCCACAAGGTTTAGGGGGATCATCGGCGGTCCCGGTGGTGGAGAAAGGTACAAGCTGAGAGCAGGAGGCCCGCGCAGCGACAACAATGATGGTCCTTGCACCGTTGCACTCAGATCTGGCTGGGGTGCAACAAGGTGGACCAGCGATGCAGGTGGTGGCGCCATCGATGGAGGAGAACCAGCACCCTGGTCAGCAGGTGGTGGCGATGACCAGGGAGGAGATGCAGAGGATGGTGGCCAATGCGGTGGCGCAAGCGATACAGCAGGTTACGAACCACACATCTCAGGCTGCGACTGCGACGGCCACGGTGGTAGGAGCACAAGAGGAAGATGCTCTGTGTACTTGCTTCCGCTTTCAGGTTAAGCTGGCGGCCGTGGCACAAGACGGGCGAGTGGGGTCATTATTACGTTTGTGATTATGAACTGTGTACTTGCTTCCGCTTATATTTATTATTTATCTCCAAAAACTTGTATGTCGAATTTCGATATGTGGAACTGGATATGTTTGATTATGATTCGAGATTATGTCGTTGATTATCGGGATTTATTGTTCTGGTATAATTTATGATTCGAGATTGTGGATATTGGTTTATGTCTCGTTTGCTGTTATGTGTATGTTATTTTGCTTAAGTTGTGTCTTAAGCTATGTGTTAATAATTGTTTGATGTTGAGTAATGCCCGGAAAAAGGTTTTTAATTGGATAATGAATTTCAAAAAATTTATTACTGTTTTTGAATATTTCGGTAATTTTCTTTTAAAAACTACGGGGTGTTACACTCACTCACCTCTTCTTTGCAGATGGCACCATCATTTTTGCTAAAGTTGATCCTAGACAATCTCACACCCAACTAAATATTCTCCAAAACTACCAAAAGCTCATAGGCTAGAAACTGAACTTAAGTAAATCATCCATATT